TTCCTTGTGTGTGTTATTTTTTGTTTTATGGGGCTGTCTAATCTTTGTCTGAAAAGTGGGCTTCAGGAATGGTATCAGTTCCGGGTTAGCAGAGTGTCCGGGGGCCACAGTTTCAGGGGTTCCCCCAGTTTCTGTCAGACCAGTGGGGTTTTCAAGGCTGTGACCTTTTGGAAGCAGATCGCCAGGCCTGTCTTCTGAGGCGCCTCCAGGTGAAACACATGAACTACCTAAACTGAAATCAAGAAGAAATAAGAAATCTCAACAGATCCACAACAAGTGAAAAGATTAAATCAGTAAACAAACAAACCAGAAAAGTCCTAGGCCAGACAGCTTCGCGGGGGAATTCTACCACGCATTTAAAGATGAACCGACACCAATTCTTCTTAAACTTTTTCCAAAAAACAGAAGAGGGAACACTTCCTAACTCATTCTATGAGACTAACATACCCTGATATCAAAGCCAGAAAAGAGCACCACTAGAAAAGAAAACTACAGACCCATATTCCTTATGGACACAGATGCAAAAATCCTCAACAAAACACTAGCAAACTGAATCCAACACCAAATTGAAAGGATTATTCACCGTGACCACGTGGGAGTTATTCGACAAACGCAAAGGCGGTTCAACTGCAGATGATCACCACTCTCGATGAAAGTCACTCAATGTAACAGAAAGAAGGAAAAGACCCACATGATCATCTTAATGGATGCAGAAAAGGTATTTAACAAAATCCAACACCCTTTCTTGATGAAAACCCTCCACAAGACAGGAATAGAAGGTAAGTTCCTCAATGTGATAAAGGGCATTTATGAAAAACCCACAGCTAATATCAAATGCAATGGAGAAAGTCTGAGAGCTTTACCCTTAAGATCAGGAACAAGGACAAGGATGCCTGCTCTCACCACTGCTATTTCAATACTGTACTACAAGTTCTAGCCTGAACAATTAGACAAGAGAAAGAACTAAAAGGTATCCAAATCAGGAAGGGAGAAGTAAAACTATATTCACAGATGAATGATCCTATACATAGAAAATTCCAAAGAATCCATCAGAAAGCTATTAGAGCTAATAAAAGAATTCAGCAAAGGTGCAGGGTACAAGATCAACACACAAAAATCAGTTGGGTTTCTACACACCAGCAATGAACAATCTAAAAAGGAAATGAAAGGAAAATAATTCATTTACAATGGCATCCAGAAGAATAAAATACCTAGGAATAAATTTAACAAGGGAGGGAAAAGATTTGTACCCTGAAAACTATAAAACACTCTGAAAGAAATTAACCAAACTCGTGGCTGTCAAGTCGATTCTGACTTATAGCAACCCTACAAGACAGAGTAGAACCACTCTATGGGGCTTCCAAGGAGCGGCTAGTGGATTCAAACTACCAACCTTTTAGTTA